GCTCTGCCCTGCTCCATGCCCTGGGCTCTGGCCCCATGCACTACCCTGGCTTGGCAGCACCCACAGTGCCTGCCCCACTCCCTCCCTCACCATGGGGGCCTTGATCTGTCCCCCCACACTCCCCCCATGCCACCTCCCACCCATAGACTTATCTGCAGGAAGCTGATCTCCACACTGCCTAGCTGTATTCCCAGCCATGTGTATGGGTGCACACATGCATGTGGTGGCTCCTGCATCCCACTCCCAGCAGCCCCTTGTGGGCTGGAACTCGAGCCTGGAAGGGGAAACCTGCTGTTTCCCTATCTCTGCATGATACTGAGAATCCAGGACAAATGCTGTCCTGGAGTCATGCAGCCTGGGACCAGGACTTGATAATCCCATTCTGGGACTGTCCTGCCCAATTAGGGACGGTTGGTCACCCTACAGATGTGGCAAACAAGGCCTATGTAATCTTGAGCAGCAAACCCAAAGATGCCAACTGCTAGTGCAAAGTAAAGGAAACCCCAGCTCATGGTAAGATCTTACCGGAGCCACACAAAGAACACTAGAGGCGCCTCTCAGTCCTTGGGAGCCACCAAAGGGCAAGGAAATTAAAATGAAGGGAACTCAGAGACAAGACCAAAAGCAAAGGAGGGTCCTAAGGGCTTCAAAGGAAAGCATTGGAGCATGGCTGTGGAGACCTTGGGTCAGAGATAGCTGGCAGCAGGGGAGGATGTGCTGGATAACAGAAATGATGTTACAAGAGGATGGTGCCTTCCACAAAAAGATCTGGCCCCTCCTCAAAGGGCCTGTGGGGCAGAACACTGATGAAGATGACAGGTCATGGTGCCCATGTCTCATGACCCCTGAGCCAGCCTCAGGAGCTGGGAAATAACACAGGTGGAAGGAGCAATAGGAGGCTGAGGGGGGACCTGGTGGCTGCCTACAAACTCATCAGGGGGGATCAACAGCAAATAGGTAGAGCCCTTTTCTCCCCAGCACCACCTGGGGTGACAAGGAACAATGGTAATAAGCTGGTGGAGAATAGGTTTAGGTTAGAGATCAGGAGGCAATATTTTACAGTTAGGATGGCCAAAATCTGGAACCGACTTCCTGGGAAAGTGGTCCTCGCCCCTACCTTGGGCAAATTCAAGAGGAGGTTAGATGATCACCTGTCTGGGGTCTTGTGAACCCAGCATTCATTCCTGCCTGTGGCAGGGGCTCAGGCTAGATGATCTGTTCAGGTCCCTCCTGACCCTAGCTACTATGAAACTATTAAACTATGAGCCTCATGATCAGGTTACTCACACTGTGGTGGGAAATAGGATCTGGGAAACAGGCCTGCCCTGGGCCTGAAAGAATTGAAAAGGACCCAAAAAGTGCAATTTCTATGGTCCAGCCACTTTACCTACCTAGGTCCTTGGGGAACACCAGCTCCAGGCAACAGAATGGCTCAGCAGGCAAACTATGCTGATCCTGCTGCAGCCAGTGCAAGAGAAAAGAAGATATGCAGATGCACCTGGAAGGCATTAGTTCAATAAAGGTGCTGAGTGGGGCCTGGCTGCTAAGAGTATGAAGAGGTGAAGCATCCTGTGCAGTGCAGATGTAGCCTCTGTCACTATACGCTGCAGCAGCAAGAGCAGCAGTGGTTGTTGCATGACCAGGACAGCCTCAGCTCTGAACTGCCCAGTCCCCTGTCACTGCTCACACCCCCCCCCCCCCCCCTTGCTGCTGACACTGCCAGTGCCAGCGGCATCTGGCCGCTGACATTGCCATGGCTGCCTGTGGGAGCTCTCTGCTTGCCGACGCCACACCCCTGCCACCAACACCACTGCCTGCAGGTAGTTGCCGTGCCCCCTCAGCCTCTGGGGACACATGGTGTTCATGGCCCCATGCTTTCCATGCACTCTGAGACAGAAAGCTGGTGCTAGCTTACACACATGCTGAGGGAAAAATACAGCTTTAAAATACAAAGTTTGGGCATATTTTTAGTTGGTTGCCCATTGCATGTCACACCCTTCACATTATGGCTTTCACACTGGTTCACAGATGTTTCTATCCCCTTCCCACACACTCTTACAAGCTGGGACCACGTGTGATCCATGTCGCATGTTCAACTTAAGTCTCTTCTTTCTTATTTGCTAAGCCTCACCAATATACTCAGTGCTGCAATCCATGGACAAGAATGAAGGTAATAACTTCTGGCTCTTCTGCAAGACTTCCATACAAGTTCTCAAGGCACTTTACAGAGAAGATGTCAATCTTCTGAGTGCAGCCAGCTGCCAAGGGTATATCTGGTCTCTATTCTGCGCTGCCAAGAAGCTCCACAGAAAATGCAGGGCACTGGTTACTACCTAAAAAGCACTAGCTAGCTGAGTGCCCAGGTCTCCCAAACAGAATCTTCTTATCCCCATCACCACACAACCCACACATGCAAGCTTTACATCCTGAGGAGCAGCCTGGAGAAGTCAAAGCCAGGCTTCTCAGTGGCAGCTCATTATCTCTGGTGGGTGAGCCTGGCTGCCTTCAGAAAACAATGTCTCATCAGCTGGCTATTTGCTCCAGGCTGACTCAGTTCTCCTACCATCTACTGACCCTGTAATCCTGGTTGCTCTTCTCCAAGTGGGAGGAACTGAGTACTATTGAATATTTGTTGCCTTAACAGATGCTGTGCACAGTGGGGCCGGAGCCTGCTGCCATGCGAGTCACAGAAAATGCCTATAATCCCTGGAACCAAATAGAGAAATATTAAATGCCTTTGTGCACTTGGTGCAGTGATCGGGGGAAGGGTGTTAAGAGCTCTAATTTTACACACACTAGTCAGGAATTTCAGAATTAAATGTTCCCACGGCAACTGTAACTTGGCCACGTGCATTAATTTCAGTGCCTTAACACCATAAACAGTTATCCAGCAAGGCTCATCTACAATAGCTATTAGATCTTTGGACAAAGCAGTGACCTGCTACCCTGATGTCACAAAATAAAATAAGGATAACATTGCTGATGTGACACCACAGAATAAACTTTAGGAAACACAAGTGCCAAATTAAAAGAAATGAAAGCTCTGCATTCAGCTATACTACACCTGAATGGGTAGGCTGGCATGGAAAGCTGGAATCTGAGGGGCTGGAAAATCATGAGAAGAGTTTCCCTTTTGTGAGAACCCCTAGATCAGGGGTAGGCAACCCCCGGCACGTGTACTGAGCATGGCACACGAGGCCATTTTGCTCAGCACGCCATGGCCAGCCCCGGCTCTGGGTAGCTGCTGCCAGCGACGGAGCCTGGGCTGCTCCCAGCAGGGTTTGTAGCATCCCAGATGCCTCTGGGAGCTGCTTGCTGCAGGCTGCCCCCAGAGCCGGGGTCAGCTGCAGCCGGGAGGCTCCAAACAGTTGTGCCGGGCTCCGGCATCAGCTCCGCACCTCAGAGTGGATGGTGGGGGTAGGGCCCGAGGCAGCGCTGCCCCGGTCTCTCCCCCGCTCCTAGCACAGAGGTGATGGCAGGCTTCCGGAGCCTGGCTCCGCTGTTTGTAGCCAGCCTGAGCTCTTGGCAGCCGCAGCAAGCAGTGGAGGCTGCAAACAGCTGCACTGGGCTCCATAGCTCCGGCATCAGCTCCATGCTGGTGACAACTGCGCGTGCACCTCAGGGTGGGCTGCATGGAGTGGGGAGCCTGGCGTGGACTCTGAGGGCTCCAGGGAACTGCTCCATTCCCCCGCTTTGCCTTGGAGAGTGAGGAGGCACGTGGCATCAGGGATGGGGAGTGGAGCACTTCCCTGGAGCCAGCGAAGCCCACAGAGCAGTTCCCCAGAGCTGGCAGAACCTCACTCGGGGAGGCAGGGGCTGCCTGCCCCAGGTGAGGAGCGAGGAGTTTACCTTCAGTAAGTGTCCCACGCCATACTGAAGCAGCGTGCTCATGGACTGAAGCAGCACGCTCATGGACCGCTACTCCTTAGAGGGAACAATGGCAGGCATGGTAGCCCCTGCTGAGGCCACAACGCCTGCCAAGTTTCAAGGAGATATGTGCAGGGGTTTCTGGGGAACTGCACCTCAAGCTGCTGACAAGCAAAACTCATGTCACGTGCGTGTGTTAAGGTGCAGTGAAGTGAAAACAGCAGGCATGGTAGCCCCTTCTGAGGCCATGAAGCCTGCCAGGTTTCAAGGAGATAGGTGCAGGGGATTCTGGGAAACTGGACCTCAAGCTGCTGACAAGCAAAACTTGTGACATGTGTGACTATGTGTGTGTGTTAAGGCACACCCTCACTGGTGCTGAGGCCTCTACACAACACAGTAATATGTCCCAATGAGGTCTTGTCCTCCCCTACAGCTTCGTCTAGGCCCACCACTTTAAATAACAATAGGTAAGCACATGAATGATGCATGCCCCCAGTGGCTGAGGGGGCACAGCGGTGGGAGCGCAGCGGCGGTAAGCTGGGAGCTCCCACAGATGCTGCTGATGCCATCAGCAGTGGTGGGGTGGGGGTGTTGTGAGTGTAAATCAGGGGTTGGCAACTACCCACAGATGCCACTGCCAGTGTCATTAGTGGGGGTGCCGAGCAACAACTGCCCGCAGGTGCTGCCAACTGTTTTGGTGGCACCTTTTTGTAGGGGGTGCACCGCCACGCTCAGGGGGTGCACATGCACCTACACAAACCCCCTATGTATCCTAGCACTGCCACTTACTTACTGAGTGGCCTCAGACAAGCCCTTTTTCCATGCCTCAGTTTCCTACTGGAAATATAGATATGATACTCAAGTCCATTGGGGGAAAGTGGGAAGACACCTGAAATCTGGCCCCTGTGAGAACAAAGTAAATGAAAGTTTCTCAGATCAGCCATTGCACCCGCCCTGGAGGTACCCTTTGTTTTTAAAGTATTTTTCTTGCCTGATGCCATGTGATAGATCCACCCATACAGACCGCAGGGCTGACTGACTATCCAGTTCACTACACAGGGAAAGAATAAAATGGAGTTCATGCAGAGCACTGTCAAATGTACAAAGGAAAACTGAAAAACAGAGAAAAGTACCTTCCTCTTCTCATCTTCTGTGATTACACAGATATTAGTGGTTTATCTGTAACACCTGGTTGGGAAACATTTTCAGACAGGAATGTAAGTTTTGTGAGATAACAGGGCTCTCTTCATTTCATAAATGTCTGTCAGATACTTTGGAATCCTTGGATGGAAGGATCTAAACAAGTAAATATTAAAAAAAAGTGAAAAATTAATGTTTTGACAGCACTTAAAAGCAGTAGATGCCATCTAAGCCTGTAGTTACTGCTGTTTTCCAAGTGTGTCAGGGTTGCTGGTTGTTTACAGATTGTTCAACACGTACGTTTGTCCTAAACAGACAAGGAGACACCTTCTCAGAAAGACTTGAGTCTGAAAGGCAGCACCTGGGTGGAAGTGCTATCTCCATCTCACTGCATTATGGAGGGGCCCGCATTGCACACTTGGGGAAGCATGGAGGGGAATTTCTCACTTAAAAAAACACAGAGCCAGCACTGGTTCAAGGTCACAGGTGACTCCCTGTCAGTTGTGGGTCTCTGGCAAAGGTATGCTTTTGAGGCACAAATCTAAGCTTCCCTCAGTCCAACCAAGTGGCTGTCACTGCCCCCTGTTGCATGATCCCCAGTCTCATGCTGCATAGAGATTGATGATTCCCTCCATTATATCAGACATGGAAGCATGAAATGGCAGCCCATCCCCACACCAAAGCTTCACTGCTTGTGGGGTGGAGCATGCCTGTGCTGCTGTACAGCCCCCTCCCATCAGCCTGTCCATTCTCACAGTCTAGATTTCCCAGCGCACTCCCTGCTCCCCTACCAGCTACTGTGACACAACGAGAGATGAATGATCAGAGTTACCATTTGGCCCTAGTTCTGGCCCCATCTCTGGATGGATTTTCCCTCCACCTCTATGCTCCTTGTTCTCTTCTCCTCTCCTTTCTCTCCTATTATTCTCACTCCTCTCCTGTCTGTCTGTAGCTGGTTCAGCTGAAGAGGTCCTAGAGCAGGGGTGGGCAATTATTTTGGGCAGAGGGCCACTTACTGAGTTTTGGCAAGCCATCGAGGGCCGCATGACTGGCAGCCCAGGGCGGATTAATATTAATTTTCTAAATTTTTTAGGGGCCCCGCAGGCCGGATAGAATGGCCTGGCAGGCCGCATCTGGCCCCCGGGCTGCATTTTGCCCACCCCTGTCCTAGAGAGTGGGCCTTCCAAGGAGTAAAGTATTCCAGGACTATTCACCACTATGATGTGTACCAAGCAAATGCACATGTGCTCACACACATCATTCTTGCATTATGTAAGTCTCCTGCCTCCTGTCAGGGCACTGACCCTATTACACTGCTCCTTTTACATTCACACCAAGCCCCTACCCTACAGTCAAAGGCACGCTCCCTTCCACCACTAGCGAGGTACAGCACTTCTCCGCAGCAGCGGAGGAAGGAGAAGGAGACCAACCCGGGGCTGCAAATCCCACTCCCCCATGCAACAACATGCCCCCTTTGCCAAAGAACGTGTGCATCCAGAACTGGGCTCCTCAGTCACCTGAAGACCCACCAAGCCGGATGGACATCATCCTTGATTTCGAGGGACCACTGCTGCCGCTACCAGGACTCCTGGGTGGACTTGCTGTTTAAAGGGCAGGTACACAGAGCACCGAGCTGTGTATAATGCAATTATGTAGACAAGCCCCGTCCCAAAACCTGTAGTGATCATCTCAAGCCCTGGAGGACAAAATTCAATCAGTCGTGATAACCTCCAGAGCAACACACATTGCTAGTAATGACATCACCAGCCAGATGAACTCTAGCAGCAGGACTATCTAGGGCTGGTAAGTGGCTGAATGAGGAATGATTCTATCTAGCTCCCAATTCATTGTCATTTAAGACTGTTTTTCCCCCCTAACTTATAGGGTAAAGAGGAGGGACTTTCATGAAATCCCAATCAGGTCCTTTCCCCCATACTGATAGCCCTCATTCCTATAACTCCTTGTCATGTGTATGTTCTCAATAGAGAGGAAAAGTTTAAATTTTTTCCCAAAACTTGATTACCTTATCCAAGGTAAGGATTGCCTTACGAGTTAATCCCTTTTTCTCTTGTACTGCCTAAGCCCACAGTGTGTTTTGAAAGATAGAGTTTCTCACAAGCCTCTGTACATAGCAGGCTTGTCCAACATACAGCCCGCAGGCTGCCATGTGGCCCTCCAAGCTGTTTTCTGAGGCCCGAGGTGCTGCGACGGGAAACAAAAGTAAACACTGTACTTTTGTTTCGGGGGGGAGGTGATGTGATACCGCTTCCTGTGACGTCTTTGAATATGGCTCGCCGGCCCACTGGGTGATAAAAAGTTTGTGATCTGGCCCCACATTCAAAAAGGTTGAACACCCCTGGGGGACTAACTGGAACTGGGGTTCATCCAGTACAGCAACCAGTCTCTGACACTGGTAGCTCACCAAATGCTTCAGAGGAAAGTGCAAAAATACTGTGGAGAACAATTACTAAATGAACTGTCCGCACAGGACACTTCTTCCTGACCTGCATCAATCAGTGACTGGTTTATGCCCTTAAGCTCTACAGAGGTTTCCATGCCTTTAGTTTCTTACACTATCTAATGCCAACGTGCATGTTATTGTTATTATTTATATAATAAATATATTATTATTATTTATAAAAATGCTCACTCCTTCCATAAATCCTGCTAACCTCTTGGCCTCTCTGAAATCTCAGCGCAATGAATTCTACAGCCTGGAATGGGGTATGGCCCTACCCATCCTAATTTGCCTTTCCTTGGGTGCCCTCTGATTGTACAACCATGGGACTGAGTGGCTAGGACACCTGGGACGCCTCCCGGCCCTCCCCTACTCCTGTGTACAGCCCTCCATCACAGGCCCTTTTCTTCAACAATCCTCTGCTACACTGCCCTAATCGCTTTAATCTTCTTTCCCACAGAATTTCCCCCCCGTTCTTGTTTCTGCTCTTCTCTGACCCCTTCCATGACGAGAAGGGAACCAGCACTGCAATGAGCCACCCCCGATGCACTGGGCCCTCTGTCCACAACCCCTCCCTGCCCACCGGCCTGCAGCCCAAGAACAGCACTCAGGCAGGGGCCACAGGACTGGGCTGTGACCTCTGCAGCTCTTCCACCACCGCCTCGGGGCTCGCTCCCGTGGGGCCCGGGGAGGGAGGCGGGGCCGGGGCGCTCCTCTGTCTCTTGCTGCCCGTGCTCTTCCTCCGGGCGGCCGGGTGGGTCAGCGCCCGGCGCCCCGCTCCGCCGGCTCGGCTCGGCTCGGCTCG